TTGAAGGTCAGTAACTTGTAACTGTAACTAGTTACTTTTTCAGTGAAAAAAAAAAAACCAACTGTAACTCAATACTTTTACAAAGTAACTTTCCCAACTTTGGAAATAAAATATATAAAGAGGCAGAGAGTACGACAGAGAACGAATCGATCTTATCTGTACATGCGTGTGTATGTGTGTATGTGTGATTGCGTATCCTCGAAGTTGATATGTACGGTCCGTTTGCGTTGCTTGCACTCATGACACTTTTATACCTCATGCCCATTGTACACTGGCCTCTTTTTAGACGAAAGAGCCTCTATTGGATATCGTTCGTTGCGTCCGATGTACAACAGGCATTAGATACAAAAGCGTCCAAGTGCAAGCAACGCGACAAACCTATAAAAATCCATGAATGGAACACGACGATTTCCCCTCAGCAGCCTTCTTACTTTCCCGGACGAACAGCACGATAAATATTTACACTGCCAGAAAAACCATCCGCCATATTCTTGGAATTAAAAGTTGGAATTAAAAGTTACCCCGATCGAGTCGTCTTTATCTCCCGAGGCGCGGTGAAATCGAAGATCGGTCTTCGAACGTGACCAAGTCGCCGTTTGTGGCACAAGGATCGCGGGTGTGATCGATACACGCGCGAAAGGAAGAAGGAAGGGGGAAACGAGGGGAGGGGAAGAGAGAGAGAGAGAGAGAGAAAGAGCACGTGGGTCGCGCACGAATTCCCGAGATACGGTTGGGTTTGTTTGCTTCTCAATGAGAGACTTTCGGAAAGCGCACGCGGACCAACTCTTTCATTCTCGAGTGTGTCAATTTCCGGCTTCGCGCGCGCGCACGTACGAAATGGAAAATGCTCTTCTTAACCCTTTGAGGCATGGTGGTAAGTATACTTACCACCTACTTATTCTCACATTTTCATGAAATATTTCATATTTGAGGGATTCTTGTTGGGTTTTTTGCGTTTTTTAGCTTCTTACATGATATAGGAACAAACATGAAAGGTTGAAAAGTGTTTTGCATAAGTTGTCCATTTATTATAAATAAACAAAGTGTGAAAAATACACATTTTTACAGAGAAAAATCATTTTCCACGAACTATGGGTGAATTTTTTGCTCAAAATCAAGATTTGGGAGTTTGTTGGGTCGCTGATTACGAATCTGAGATCCAAATTCCAAAATTAATTTTCCAAGATGGCGGATTCAAGATGGCGGACCATAGAATTTTTATTGAATTAGCTAAAATTGTACTCTGATTGGTTTTTGAGGTCGCTGATTACGAATCTGAGGTCCACATTCTAAAATTCGTTTTCCAAGATGGCGGATTCCAGATGGCGGATTCCAGATGGCGGATCATAGAATGTACATAAAATTAACTAAAATTGTATTCTGGTTAGTTTTTGAGCTCGCTGATTACTGAATCTGAGGTCAAAATTCCAAAATTTATTTTCCGAATTGGCAGATCAGAAAATTTTTATATGATTAGCTGATATCGTACTTTGGTTAGCTTTCAAGGTCGCTGATTACGAATCCGAGGTCCAAAACTCATTGTCAGCGAAATTATCGCAATTTTTCATATTTGTCGCCGCCATCTTATATCCACCATCTTGAATCTTGAAAATCTGATAACAGATTCGCAATCAGCGACTCCAAAAACCCCACAATACCTATTGTCACCGAAATTATGGCGATTTTTCATTTTTGCGCCCGCCATCTTGGATCCGCCATCTTGAATTTCGAAAATCTGATAACGGATTCGTCATCAGCGACCCCAGAAACCATCGTATATAAATTTTCATGTGATTCGGATTTTCTGAAAAATACATACCTGAAAGGGTTAAAAAAAAGAAAATTCATGTCTGTACATACGCGCATGTGTGTCCGTCGTCGGATTAGCCGTCATCGTCGTCGTCGCGTAAGAGAGTCTTCGGATGACAATGTTGAAAATGAAACGCGGACGAGCGTGACAAAACAAGACCTCAAAGAGAGAGAAAGAGAGAAAGGAGGAGGAGAAAGAGGAGATTTGACACAACGTACGTGAGAATAGAAGTGCGCGGACGTGAAGGGGGCACGACAAAGAAGAAGCAGTGCGCAGCAGCAGCAGGCGCGGCGAAGCTTTTATATTCAGCGGTCGTGTGCACGGGTTAAGACGGTGAAATAAGACACGCTAGATAAACTTGGATCACACACAGACCGCAGCATGGGCAGCATATTGATCTATATCTATAGATATAGATGGAGCGCGCTGGATAACGGCGGGGAGGAGGAGGGGGGGGGGTAGAATTCATTATCACTCGTGACGGTCCGTTATGACGATTATAAAAAGAAAAGGGAGAAAGAGGAGGAAGAGGGAGCGAACGAGAGAGAGAGGGAGAGGGAGAGAGAGAAAGAGGGAGAGAGAAAGAGTGAAAGAGGAAAGAAGGGCGGGGAGTAAAGAGAAAGGGAGGGGGAGAAAGACCGAAAAGGAGCAAAGCGCGATTAACGTTAACGGCAATGTAAACTACGCGAACACGTCTGACAGAAACAGAGAGTGAGAGAGAGAGAGAGAGAGAGAGAGAGAGAGAGAGAGAGAGAAAGAGAGAGAGAGAGCGAGCATGCAATAAGGAAAGGAGGAGCGCTCATTAAACACGTCCGGCATGCCTCCATCGTCAAATCGAGCGTAGCGAAAATAGGAAAGGCCTGTTCGCGGCGCAGGATATGCCCCTCCCCCCCGCCCCGAAAGGCCGCGCGATTTCGCGCTCTTGACGCGAACGTCCCTCCTCCCCCCATTCGCACCTGCTTGATCTCTTATATCGAACACACCGGACGACGGAGTTGGACCAGTAGAATCCTGCTGCGGGAAGGAAAACGAAGGGACGAGGCCTCGTTATCGAGTCTCATCCTTGAACGCGCGCTGCGCTACGCGACTAATTTTCAATGTTAAGTAACTCGGCAACTGTAACGTGTTGCGCGCCGGCATGCATTGAAGCAACCGTCACTTTTCTCTGATTAGTCATTCACAGGCCGTGGTCGTACCGAAAGGGCATGTATACGCGCTGGGCACAGTCCATTCTAAATTGGTTTACGTTGTGCGCATATGTGTGTGTATATGTGTATGTATGTGTGTGTGTGTATGTGTGTGTGTGTGTGTGTGTGTGTGTGTGTGTGTGAGTGAGAGGGGGGGAAGGGAGAGAAAGACCGAGCGAACGAGCGATCGGTCAGTTAAAGCGCGAGAGGAAGTGCCGCGCTGCAGATACGTGAAATGATTCTTGATAAGAGGCGGGGAAGGCCGTTGCGCGCGCGTGGCTTGGGAAATACGCGACGGCGGCGGCGGCGGCGAGAGAGAGTTCCGTTCGACCGATCGTACTCGCCCGGTTGAGTCGTCGAGCCGCCGCCGCTTGTGGAAGAGAACGACCGATCGCGCCGCATCGGTCTCTCGCCGAGCCAGAAAGAAGATTGTAAACAACGGCTCGTGAACGGCACGGTGGTGCGCGAGGGAAGGGAGGGAGGGGGGAGTGCTCGAAGGGACACCTGAAGGGAAGTACATACGTCGGCGCGACTGACGTTTCGGGAGGGATACGAAAGGCACGGGAAAGGTGGGGGGGGGAGGGAGAGATGGCGTAAGTGCGTGAGTGTACAGTAGACGTCACGAATGCCTCCTCCCCTCGTTAGACCAAACGGCTGGCTGGCTGCCTTCTACCTCGAGAGACATCGCGCGTCCGGATATCGTATTCGTATGTACGAATGCCGAACGTCATACCCGTTGCGTCATTTCGCCTTTCATGCGTCACGCGGTCGACCCGGAAATGCCCGCGTTCGCGGAAAGTTCGCGAAGCGAAGGTTCGCGCTCCTAACAGCGCGTTTCAGCATTATTCGAGCATTATTCGAGATGGTGACTGTGCGCGTGATAAAAAATAAGGGGGAAAAAGACACATCGTGCCCGATGACAAAGCGCGATAGCGAAAGGAACGGGACGAGGAGAGAGAGAGAGAGAGAGAGAGAGAAAGAAAAAGAGAAAGAGAGAGGCGACCAGTCGTATCGCGTGTGACACATTTTTGCGAGCGCAGGATCGGAAGACAAAGATTGAATGAATTAATGATAGCGAACGAACAACAGAGAGAAGAAAAGAGAGAGAGAGAGAGACGCTCTCGAATTTCCAGGTACCGAGGTCTCTCTCTCTCTCTCTCTCTCCTTCTCTCCCTCGTTTTCTCAAGAAGCGTCAATTTAACGGGGCAGGCATTTACGACGGCTAATGTACGCGCATTTGAATCGGATCGGAGCGCCGCGCCGCCGCCGTCGTGTAGCCCGACGAGGAAAGAGAGCGACTGAGAAAGAGGGAACGTCGATGGCGGGAAGTGGGGCGCGAGAGAGGAAGATAGGAACAAAAAGAGAGCGACGGGGCACAAGGGTGAACGGCGCGGGGCCGGAGGGGGCGCGCGCAAGAGAAGGATAGGCTGGCACACACGCATGCAAAGAGCGCAGAGGGACGGACGCACGGTAGACGACGACGACGACGACGGAGGGACATGGCTTCCATCCTTGAATACGCACTTAGCCGCAAATTGCGTCGTTCCTTTGTCCGTCTCGCTGTCGCGGATCGCGGCCCCTAACGCGTCAACGGTTCCGTCTACACACCGTCCGCTCCGCCGTGTTCCGCTCACTTCCGATCAGCTATACGCGCTCGCGCGTGTGATTACGCGTACACACACACACACACACACGCGCGCGCGCGCGCGCGTGCACGCACGCATATATGTGCACACGCATACGCACACTAGTGAAACGCGCTCCGATCGAGAATAACGTAGTAAGTACGCGTACACAGAGCCGAGGAGAGAAGAAGAGAGGAGAACGGAGCACAGTCAAGTCGACTTGAGACTCGTTCGCTCGCTGTTTCTCTCCCTCTTTTTCTCTCGACTATCCCAACCGAAAATAGTCGCGGCAATCGGGGTAGAGCGCTCGCTCGCGAGCGGCGCGGCGCGGCGTGGCGGGGCAAAGAGCGCGCACTCCGCGCGGATTGCGACACTTACCGAAGGCTGTTGCGGTGTAGCAGGGCGCAATATGTCAGCTGACTTGACGCGCGACCGATCCCAATCCTGCGTCAGTATGCCACATAATTCTCAGCGGCACATTCGGTCACCTCGCTCGCAAACGAATCGCTTCGCGGAACTTGCCCGCCTCGCGTTTCACACTGTTTCACAATACTCGCGCGAGACACGGTAGAAAGATAGGGAGAGGGAGAGAGAGAGAGAGAGGGATAAAAAGAGAATGGGGGTGGCAAGAGAGGGAAAGAGATGAAGGGGAGACAGAGCTGAGCGACGGTTGCGACGAGGGCGACGATGACGGCAACGGTATATCGGCGACGTCAACGGTGACGATGACGCGATTACGGCTGCAACTGCGGCAACAACGGCAATCACGACCACGACTGCGATGACTACCGCGAGAACGGCGATGACAACGACGGTCGTTACGAGCAAAACTTTCTTCACACCCAACTCTCTCGACTACGAAGCCAACTGCTGCCGAAACCGCGAGTACGAGAACGAATACTGCTGATGACTGGTGTAAAGTTAGATCTCTTTTGCCCTTCCTCCCCCCACTCCTCCGGCCGAGCGTAGCACTCGGTTCGCCGGACGCGAACGAACGATCACGAACCTCCTCGAGCGACGGTCGCGGGTTCACTGGATCATAGAAGGAACACCGATCAACTACTTAAGGGCGCTTCACATGAGACGCGGTGTCGCGTTTTGATGTCAATTGTAAATTTTTTGTAAATTTTTTTTTAGCTAAACTGGTGCTGCACTGAGACTTTGACCGATATATATTCATGGTTTTATATTTCTCATATTTAAGATCGTCTCAAGTTTATCTTCAGATACTTCGTAGCTAATGGGTGCGTTTAGGAAATTCAACAGTTGCACAATAGTTGGGCATCCGATGAGTGAGTGATTAGCGGTAGACATGTGCAGGGTAAATGCAACATACAGGTCAGTATGACGGGTTGCTTGCCCTTATTCGGATAATAATGCAGAGGTTGCCGAAAAAGTCACTCGTTGACTTTGTTGATAATGATATTTGCAGTGTTCCCACTTATGACAAATGCAACTAACTTTGCACCGTGATCGTTATGACAATTTATCGACCGTTTACCGACAGAAGTCGAGCTTTATTGAATTAAAAAAGATGTTTAAGAAATGAAACTGAGAAATAAATATTACGAAATTAAGCTGAATAAATAAGAGTAATACTTAAAGAGATAAATAATACAACATATTTTCTGGTTTTGCATAATTTCTTAATTGCTTTCTTACGTTGAAAAGTTCGATAGAAACTGGAGATTAGAAAGAACGATACAGAAATATTTAAAAGTCTTATATATTGTATTTCATCCATGTTTCTACAAAAGATCGCTTCTGTAAAAGTATGAATGGATTAGAAGTATAAATATTGGTTGCAACTTAAGCCAGCGACACACGGTGCTTGATTTCGTGCTGGATTGCTTGCTGGATGAAAATACTGCATTCTGATTGGTGCATTTCCATCTATCTTCGGAAATGTACCAATCAGAACGCAATATTTTCATCCAGCACGAAAACAAGCACCATGTGCCGCTGGCTTTAATGCAGCCAGTTCAACAATAGAAAACAAACCTTATGTATCTTCAGTACTGTCAGTGGGTGCATCCAGAACCATGAGTGCTCAGTGAGCGCTTACTTAACGCTCAGTGAGCACTCTAGGTCAATTTACTGGATGCAAACACTCTCTAATTGCTCACAGTGAGCAGTCGCCATATTTGTGAGCGTAATTTTTTATCGCTGACTCCGGTCACTGTTGATCTGTTCTACTGTTTATGCGCCAATGCAACAACCTGAAAAGTTAGTAAGTATTATAAATTTTATATTATGTTAGTTTTTATCTTCTGTATCGAAAGTAAAATCATGCTGTATTGTAAACAGGTAGTATCATAGGAAAGTAAATAAACGTCATTCATATATAGAAATGTAAATTATAATACCTAACCCTAACAGCACAGTTCATTGGCTACTATGATATTCCCTAGCCAACTTCCGCCTCGCGGCAAGCATGCCGCGTATTATGTGCAACCGGCCGCATTCCGATATTCGCTACCAGTACTGAAATATATAGTTTGAATTAATATATAGTTTGAATATATAGTTATAAAATATATAGTTTATGTCACGTATACTTTTTAGTGCTGGCGGTGAATATCGGAACGCAGTCATTTGGTCTGTTCTTTTTAACTGCACTACTGAACTGGTGCAATAAGTTAAAGTGAGAAAAAATATAGTTCTCATTCTAACTTATTGCACTAGTTCCGCAGTGCAGCTAGAAAGAACAGACCATATGAATGGCTACTATAGCTTAAGCCCGGTCCAGAATAGGTTGCAAAAATCCAGAGGTTCGGTTCCTGACGGCGTGCGATTGAGATGCGCATGCAAAAATCTATATTATATGTAACGTAAACTGTACATTTTCGCATACGCATCTCACTCGCACGCCGTCAGGAATCGAGCCTTAGTGGTGGAATTCTGTAACTCGTTATTGGAGTTAACGACACTTTCGTTATCGTTGCGCAGCTTTTCTATACCGTATAAAAGCTGCGCAACGATAACGAAACTGCCGTTAACTCCAATAACGAGTTAAAGAATCGCACCACAGAGCCCTATTCTTGAATCTATACGCAACTTGACGTATACGCACGTTGCAAACGGTAAAAATGCGCATACATTTCTGACACGATATTCTTGAACTTAATTGTGTAGTATTCGCAACTAGAAACGTATACGCTTTCCGTTGCGCTTAATTACGTTTGACAACATTGGAAAACATATGTACTTTCTGCAAATATTGACCAAAAATACGATACGACGAACTTTAATTGGTTGCATTTAGCAGAATAAAATGGAAAATATGGAACTAATATGGAACTAATATGAAAAAATCTTCCATTATTTCAGCATGTTCTAACGCATTTATAACTGGTATGTTTACTATTATATCGTCTAAATCCATTATTGTTACACAGCTTTACTCTATAATTAAAATGCAGTGAAATTTATATGCTACTTTCTCTTAAATTTCGTAATTATTATTTCTCTTACGAATATGTAAAGTCAGCTATTATTTTCCACTTTTTTAGCCGTCTTAGCGTCGAAGTCTTCTTCTTCTTAATAACAGTGTGCTTCTATATGTATATTCCACTTTCTGTACTTTGCATAACGTATCATATACGTTTCGAGAGAAATGGATGGTACTATCCATTCGTTACATTGCGAATGGTAATTTGCGTATACGTTTCATTTGCGACTGTCAAGAATACGGTTCTAGGGACTTTCCATTGCGATTAGTCGAAACTTGCCACTTACGTATATGCAAATAGTTCAAGAATAGGGCCCCAGTTGCGAAGGATAGCAACTATTAGTTACAAAAGGCGATTTTTGGCGATCGTTTAGTACATGTACCAGGTTGTCATTGGGCTAGCTCATACTAAATATTTAACATATGTACTAAATATTTATACGGCATAAATGTTTAAAATATATTATAGAAACGTCTCAGAGATATTTGGATATCTGTGGAATATATTTTAGACATTTGTGCTTTAAAAATATTTAGTACATATATTAAATGTTTAATGTAAACTAGGCCAGTGACAGCCTGGTACGATCGCGGACATAAAGGTTGTCACTTTTTTTTTAATGACTTTCGGGACGCATCTCGACTCGAGAAAGATGAGCTGCTGCTCCGCCTGCAGAGCACGCCTATGCAGTAACTCACAACGAAAGGCGAGAAATGAAATATACGTGGTATGATATAAGTATGTCAACAATCATTGCATTCAGCGAAGAAAACCGCTCAGTGAGCGATTAGTGACTAAATAAATACGATTTCACTTAAAATTTAATATACATACCTGTTCAATGCCTTGCAAAAGACGCATTCCCATTTGAATGACTTGCATTATGTATCTATTCCTCCGCTGCTGATTTTTCAAAATGTAAGAATTGGGTGCGTTCACGACACTCAACGGTTAAGCAACTGTTGAATAATTTGTCAACGTTATTGGTCTGAATGTAAGGATCTAACAGTGAGGACCAGTAGTCACTAATCGCTCATTGAGCGGTTTTCTCCGTTAAACGCAATGATTGTTGACATACTTATGTCATACCACGTATATTTCATTTCTCGCCTTTCGTTGTGAGTTACTGCGCAGGCGTGCTCCATAGGCGGAGCAGCAGCTCTCATCTTTCTCGTGTCGGGATGTCCCGAAAGTCGTTAAAAAAAAAATGACAACCTTTATGTTCGCAACCGTACATGTACCAAATGATCATCAGAAATCGCCTAATGTGTTATTTTCGGTTGTAAAGCCCGGTCCAGAATAGATTACAAACATCCAGTTGCGAGTTGCGAAGAATGGCAACTACTAGTTACAAAGTGCTATTTTCGATTGTAAGAGACAGTTGCGGTTGCCGGTTGCCGTCGCCAAGAAGTTAAAAGTTGGAAAACTCTCTTCTAGCAACCGCAATTGTCTTACGACCGAAAATAACACTTTGTAACTACCCAGACAGCACACGGATGTCCATTGGACGTCCGTTATATGTCCATTTTTTTTACAAAAGACGTCCATAGGACGTACGTTTGTCACAACTTCGGACATAGGACATCCGATGAACGTACATCGGACGTCTTATAGGTCCGATGTCCAATAAGGACATCCTTGTTATGTCCAATTTATGTCCACGGACGTAAATCGGACATACGGACACAAATTGGACGTGAAACGTACATCCATTGGATGTCCGGTGCTGTCTGGGTAATAGTTGCCATTCTTCGCAACTCGCAACTGGATGTTTGCAACCTATTCTAGACCGGGCTTAAAAGTTGGGCAACTCTCTTTTAGCAACCGCAACTGTCTTACAATCGAAAATAACACTTTGTAACTAGTAGTTGCCATTCTTCGCAACTCGCAACTAAAGGTGCGTTCCGTTTCACGCATGTGTGCGCGTTTATCTATAGTTTATGTCACGTATACTATAAAAAATGCGCGCATATGCGTGAAGCTGGCTCTCCATGCAGCGTAAAAAGCGATGCGTAAACTGCATCAGCCAATCAGTTGTCTCAGCTGTTATACGCAAATCATAGCTGAGGTGAATGATTGGCCGCATTCAGCAAAAAAAGCCGCTTAAGCGTTTAGTGATTATCGTTTCTGATTGGTTCATTCCCCTGGATTTATTAAAGATCTAAAAGAATACTCCAATCATAGATAATAATCACTAAGCGCTTAGTAAGCAGCTTTTTCTGCTGAATGCGGCCATTGGTTGTCGCAAGTAAACCGCAAGTAAATCACACTAATGATTCGCGGCTGCGACTGCGACTGCGATTGCGATTGCAATTTCTTGTTTTCCAATCACATTTGCAATTGGCGATCGCGGCTGCGGCTAAATAATGTTAACATATTGTTACACGTACGGTCGCGGACACAATAATGTGTGCCAGTTTTTTTGCAACTTTCGGAACGCATCCCGACTCGAGAAGAATGAGACTGCTCCGCCTGTGGAGCACGCCTGCGCAGTGACTCACAACGAAAGGAGAAATGAAATATACGCGGTGGGACATATTATAATAATAAGCAGCTGTTATATAACAACTGCTTCTGTATCTAACAGCATTGCTTCTGCTATAGAAGATGGCTGTTGCTGAAACAATAAATCACATAAATGTATAACAGAATCATAATTATCGTAATGCAGCTTAATTCTCTTAATTAAGTTCGTATTGTTTTAAAAACATAAACATGTTTATTTATCTCTACCTTTTTCGGATGTCCCCCGGAGTATAAGACTTACATCGGATGATTCTTGTCTGTTCTGTGTTCCCTCATTTCCATTTAATGCTGGAGTATTCATTTCATCTGAGTCTGTATTATTATAATATGTCTCACCGCGTATATTTCATTTCTCGCCTTTCGTTGTGAGTTACTACGCAGGCGTGCTCCGCAAGCGGAGCAGTGACTTTCATTCTTTTAGAGTCGGGATGCGTTCCGAAAGTTGCAAAAAAACGGGCACATATTATTAAAGCCAGCGGCACACGATGCTTGTTTTTGTGCTGGATTGCTTGCTGGATGAAAATACTGCGTTCTGATTGGTGCATTTCCATCCATCTTCGGAAATGTACCAATCAGAACGCAATATTTTCATCCAGCAAGCAATCCAGCACGAAAACAAGCACCGTGTGCCGCTAGCTTTATGTCTGCGACCGTACAATCCCAGAGAAGGGGTTTACATTCTATGAGATCTACTAAATAATAGTCTATCTCCTTATTAAATTGTTTTGATATTTAAAAAAAAATATGTAACACATAAAACAACACTAGAGGCCAATTGTTCCAACTTCATGGTAAGTTAACTGATAGTTAAATCATATCTCTGTTTTTGTCTAAAGGCTCGCCTACAATAGCTGTAAGAGTAAGGGCAAAAGCACAGGCTTTTGCATAACGCATAATACACAACGCATAAGAGAATCAACCAATCAGAGTTCTTCATTTTTGTCCTGAGGAGGGAAATGAAGAAAACTAATTGGTTTATTCTCTTATGCGTTATGTATTATGGGTTCTGCAAAAGCCTGTGCTCTTGCCCTAAAGGCCTATCCAGACAAACTTGCATAAGCGCGTAACGCATATGCATAAGGAAATTGACCAATTATGATCCGTGTAGTAAAAAAATATTTTTTGTATTAAACATACGATTAGTCAATTTCCTTATGCATATGCGTTAAGCGCCTATGCAAGTTTGTCTGGATAGGCCTTAAGGACCAGAACATAGACTTCTGCATAACGCATAATACATAACGCATAAGAGAATCAACCAATCAGAGTTCTTCATTTCTGTCCTGAGGAGGAAAATGAAGAACTCTGATTGGTTGATTCTCTTATGCGTTGTGTATTATGCGTTATGCAGAAGTCTGTGCTCTGGCCCTAAGGTTATAAGGCTGTAATGTAAGCTGTCAGCGAATGAATATTTCATTTCGTGTCTTGCAACCTTACAGCCTTACTCTTACAGCTAATGTAGACGAGCCTTAAGTTGAAGGAAAAACGAAGACAAACATATGATTTAACTATCAGTTAACTTACCAAGAAATTGGAACAATCGGCCCTAGATATAACCTTAGGGCCAGAGCACAGACTTTTGTATAACGCATAATACACAACGCATAAGAGAATCAACCAATCAGAGTTCTTCATTTCTATCCTGAAGAGGGAAATGAAGAAAACTAATTGGTTCATTCTCTTATGCGTTGTATATTATGCGTTATGCAGAAGTCTGTACTCTGGCTCTATTAAATAAATGTAATTATGACGAGTGCGTCACGTGATTATACGGAGTTCTGTGATTGGTTGCGACTGCGGCTGCGACTCGAAAAATGGACAGCCGTCCAAACGACAGTCGTGAGTCGCAGCCACGAGTCGCTGCTTTCTGATTGGTCGAGGAAGAATCGCAATTGCAATCGCAGCCGCAGCCGCAGTCGCGAGTCGCCAGTGTGATACGGTCTTTAAGCCTAGTGGTCTGGGGCTCGATTCCTGACGGCGTGCGAATGAGATGCGCATGCAAAAATCTATATTATATGTAACGTGAACTATACATTTTCGCATACGTATCTCACTCGCAGGCCATCAGGAATTAAGTTTAAAGGCCATCACATGTAGAAAAATTTTAACCGTAACCGTAAGGTTGTAAGAAAACTGACCAATCACAGTCGATTATTATAATGTCACAAGAGAAAGGATCGACTGTGATTGGTCAGTTTTCTTACAACCTTATGGTTACGGTTAAAATTTTTCTACGTGTGATGGCCTTTAGGGTGCGTTCCGTTTCACGCATATGCGCGCATTTTTTATAGTATATGTGACATAAACTATAGATAAATGCGCTCATATGCGTGAAACGGAACGCACCCCTTGTTCTTTTCTTCTGCACCGCTGCACTGGCGCAATAAGTTAAAGTGAGACAAATATATACTTGTCTCACTCGAACTTATGCACTAGTGCAGCGGTGTAGAGGAAAAGAACAGACCTCATGATATTCCCTAGCCAATTTCCACCGCACGGAAAACATGCCGCGTTCTCTGTGCAAGAGGGGTTAGCGGTCATTTGTGTATCATTTGTCTTTCGAATGGTATGGTATCTTGGTTATGTGTATCATTATTACAAGTTAGATATTAACTTTTGATATTAATTTCTTTTACACGATATATGAAGTATTGATGAAAAAATTTGATTATTCCTTCTACGATTTATCGCTGAAATATCGCTGATCGAGTCAATCGTTATATCGTATCGCAAGTTAGAAATCTATAGTTGAGATTAAAGAAAGTAATAAACTCGTAAAATACAACATTGTAACTTGTAAAATACAACACAATATTATCTAACTTTTGAAGATAATATTATATTAGATATACGCGTTTATCGTGAGTAAAAAAGAAACATGAATACGCCACATTCTAATAAGAAGAAAGGCAGGAACAGGATAGGTATGCAGAACGAAAGCGCCAGTCCTCCAAATGCTGAAACGCTCAGCAGTCAAGAATTAGCAAAATTTGTTTTGGTACGTTTAAATAAAAATGTGAATATTCCTTCATGTTACTCATTTGTTATATTCTCATAATGGTTCCATGATGTAAGCTTTTAGTAAGTTTGTATTATGGAACTTATGAGAAATAAGCTGAAGTAAGGTCTTAAATAACATCAATATATTTTATTATTTTAAGGTAAATCCTATTGGAGAAGAAGGCAGTAAACCAATTAAATTAGGTATCTCAGATACTATCCCCATAATTCCCTTAGATGAAAGTATGCTGGATGAAAAGGTACAGAAGAATATAGTATTAGTAGAGAAGGAAAAGGAAGAGAAGAATGTTCTTAGTACCTTGCCTATTGCAACAGTCAAAGAAATAGAAGGCTATGAGAATCAATTAGGAGAAGCTGAGCCACTTCCAAATTCTTACATCAGATTTATGGAACGTAGTGGTGAAGAACTTGATGGTATGTAATAGAGTATAGTTTGTATGAGATCTATTTTCATTAGTTGAACTAAACTGCATTTTTATCTTTAGAGTGAAATAAGTATATAATATAATATTAAAAAAAAAGGAATGAAAGATAAACCTTTACATTAATATTATGACTCTAACTTGAACATTAAAATATATATATTTCCATTTTTTATATATCTTATACTTTTTCTTACATATCTTTTATATACATTTGTATTCTATTCACAATATACATTAATATTAGTGATATTTTTCTGGTGTAATTAATTAGATTACCATTAGATTGATCAATGCCTTCAGTCCACCTTGAAGTTTCTTCGACTATATGGCAAAGACCAGTGATATACCGGGTGTTTCAGACCACCCGGGTCACCCGATTTTTTCATTAACGCGACATTTTAGAGAAAAATATTTCAGACAAAAGTTGTAGGGCTTCAAAGGATCTATTTACTGACGCTATGAATTTGACCTTGGGATAACCTTGAAAAGTCCAGTCAAGATCAAAATAAAAATCTTGAATGGATACCCCAATTTTTTATTACATCATCTTTTTCTAGCAATTAATTTAAACAACTTTTGTCTGAAACATTTTTCTACTTACCTAATATTTTTTGAGATATTTAAGGAAAACTTGATAACTTTTTCAATATTTAACTCACGATCTCGCTAACTATTTGTCAGGAGAAGAAGTGGTACTAGACTTTTTTACTCTATTTAGTCTCAAGAATATATGTTTACAATAGTGCCCTGACTTTTGTTAACTTGCTGATTTTTTGAAATTTCAAAATCATCAAATTAACCAAATTCAGGGCGCTATTGGAACAATATATTCTTGAGACTAAATAGAGCAAAAAAATCTAGTAACACTTTTTCTTCTGACAAATAATTAGCGAGGTATCGTGAGTTAAATATTGAAAAAGTTATTAAATTCTCCTTAAATATCTCAAAAAATATTAGGTAAATAAAAAATGTTTCAGACAAAAGTTGTTTAAATTAATTGCTAGAAAAAGGTGATGTAATAAAAAATTGGGGTATCCATTTAAAATTTTTATGTTGATCTTGACTGAACTTTTCAAGGTTATTCCAAAGTCAAATTCATAGCATCAGTAAATAGATCCTTTGAAGCCCTACAACTTTTGTCTGAAATATTTTTCTCTAAAATGTCGCGTTAACGAAAAAATCGGGTGACCCGGGTGGTCTGAAACATCCGGTAGATTGAATTTGACTTTTTAGCCTCACTCTGCTCATACATGTGCACTGTTTCTATATACAGAATATGGTCTTTAGTGCTGAAGTTAATTATTACATTCTTTAAACTTGTTTTGTTAATAACTTTTCAATAAATTTTCAATAATATATTATTTTATTAAAATAAATAAGCAATATAGAGCTAAGATCTTTTAAATGTTACTCAGGACAATAATCTTGACAACACATGTTCATCCTAAGTAGGAACATTAATACGAAAGTTTACTGAATGAAGTTTTAGTATAATACTAGTTTGACTAAAACAAAAAAACAGACTTATAATATCACGTGACTTCTATGACACTAAGATATTTAATTATTAAAAGTTTTGTTTCAGCTATACAAGATCATTACTATATTATTATTTAAAAATAACACCAAAATTATCCTTCCGACAGGAGAGGTGGAATATGATCTGGACGAGGAGGATACTGCATGGCTTTCTATTGTTAATGAAAGAAGACTAGCCTCCGGATTGTCACCTCCATTAGAGGCTGATACGTTTGAGCTACTGATGGACCGACTGGAGAAAGAGTCGTATTTTCAACAACAAAGCAATGGCGGAGCTGGTGTCGCGGCGGATGAAGATGCAGTTTGTTGTATTTGCATGGACGGAGAATGTCAGAATAGTAATGCAATCTTGTTCTGCGACATGTGCAATCTAGCCGTCCATCAAGATTGCTACGGTGTACCATATATACCAGAAGGACAATGGCTATGTAGAAGATGTTTGCAGAGTCCATCTAGAGCCGTGGATTGCGTGCTGTGTCCAAACAGAGGCGGTGCTTTCAAGCAAACTGATGTTCCTGCGAAATGGGCGCATGTAGTATGCGCTCTGTGGATACCGGAAGTAAGATTCGCCAACACCGTATTTTTGGAACCGATCGATAGCATAGAGAGCATCCCGCAAGCTCGTTGGAAACTAACATGCTGTGTCTGCAAACGCAAAGGAGCCGGCGCATGTATTCAGTGTCATAAGAGCAACTGTTACGCGGCATTCCATGTAACTTGCGCGCAACAGGCTGGTCTATGTATGCGGATGCGGACAGTACAACCGAATAACGGCGAGCCAATGCTGGTACAAAAGACCGCATATTGCGAGGCTCACACGCCCGTCGATTATCAGCCCTCCACGAATCCTACGGACGCAAGGAGGAGAGCGATAGCTAATAAGAAAAGCTCATCAGCACCCGTTATTTCTATTCCCACAATACCACCAGAGAGGATCCGAGAAATCGCTAGGTAACAATTAATTAAGTTAACATTCCTGAACACATTGAATTTTGTTGTGCGTATGTAATTTTAATCTATATCCTATTCTAATCTTTCTACCTATCTCTAATCTTTATAGCAATTATTACATTTATTACATAAAACTTATATATAATTTACATTTGTTATACGTAATGTATTATGTATATAATAATTGCTACGTAATAATTATTATATAACATAAACGAAATGTGCTTATCTAATATATCACCGAGTTTATTTATGTTATGTTATTAAATTTGCCGACCACAGTCTTGCCGACGGATTACCAAAGAAGAGTCAGTTGATACAACGTCTGATTGCCTATTGGACGTTGAAGCGACAATACAGGAACGGTGTTCCGCTTCTCAGGCGGTTGCAAAGTTCACATCCGCAATCGAGACCTACGCCTACGCTCGGGGAACACATCTCGCCGACACAGGACAGCGAATTACGAGGAGAATTGTATCGTCAACTCAAGTATTGGCAATGCCTGCGTCAAGACTTGGAACGTGCACGATTATTGTGTGAATTGGTGCGGAAGCGCGAGAAGTTGAAGAAAGAGTACATCAGAGTGTGAGCATTCATTATTAATATTAACCTTTAACATAATAAAAACCGTTGTATATATTCACTATATCAAACACTTTATACTATTGTAACTATTACATAATTTAATATAAAGGAAGCTCTTTTCAAAAGATATACAGTCAGTTTAACAAATAATAAGGCAAGTAAACGAAATTTTATTAGTATAAGAAAATAGTGCTTAACATATAGTTATTAACAAATGCTTGACATAATTTTTAATATTTTATATAATTAAAAAACAATTTATAATTCAAAACTTATAAAATTTCTAAAAATTATGCTTATATATAATATTTTTCTAACATGCACTTTTGATTAGCATATTTTCACGTTTTGGTCTAATTGAACTTTCTTCAGCAAAAAATAACACACTATATACTGTACATCAATATTTATAAAAGTAGATATATTATGAAGCAAATCCATGTAAAAGTTAAAACAGATAAAATCCAAATGTTTAGAATATAAATATTCAATTTTTAAACATGAAACTTCTCAATAACAAGAATAATCTTTATTTAGATTACTAACATCTTGTTGTAAATCTACGTCATGATCTAATATTTCATAAAAAACAGAGAGAGAGTGAGAGTGAGAGAGAGAGAGAGAGAGAGAGAGAGAGAGAGAGAGAGAGAGAGAGAGAGAGAGAGAGAGAGAGAGAGAGATATCGTTTGATGTATCGTTTGATGATTTTTTGTCTAGAATCTTGATATTCTGATTGAGCTCATATCCATCCGATCTACCTTAAGACACAACTAAATAATCTGTATCTGATATAATTGATTGCAGTATTCCTTAATACGAGTTATTAGTTGTTTGTTTGTTAGTTTGTTTGTTTGTTGCCCGATATATATGACGCGTCGTAATCTAGACTTGATTCGATAAACAACTCCATTGTAGAAGTCATCATTTATCTTTATATATTTTCATAAAAATATTGAGATTATTTAAAACGACATAAAGTGCGAATATCAAGATCTTTGATGTTGCGCGGTAATCGTTTAAACAGCTTATGAACATATGGAATACAAAGTAACGAAATCTGCCAATATCTTCATTGAAATTTCTGGAGTATTTTTATGATTGTTAATTATACTTAATCTTTGTTAGACTAGTTAGCCTCTTATCTTTATTATCTTAAAAATAAATTATTTAAAATATTAATATCAATATTAAAATATTAAATGTAATAGGTGACATAATAAAATATTAACTATCATGTTTAAATAACTATCATGTTTAAATATTTTTTTATGATATTTAGGATAAGGTTATAAAAATCACAACAAAGAATCACATCATATTAGACCAAAACACTTATGAATAATTATATATAAAGCACTACTTTTTCTCATTAATAAAATAACGCTTGAATATCGAAATTAACTCGTACTTTCACTAATATTAATAGTATAATAGTAATAGTATATAGTGGCAAATTAAGAAGAAAAAATGAAATTGTCTTTGTCTCCAGTTTACTTATTTTTTATTTTGTTATGAAAATACTAGATAATTTTAAAAATAGGAAATGAAACTGAGACAGTACTTAATCTTAGTACTTAATTCTGTAATAAATATCAATAAGTGCACTTACATTTATGTAGCATCTTTTAAAGTCTCTCACAGAGTGAAATAAATGTAGCTCTTAAATAGTTAATGACGCAGAGAATTTTATAGCAATTTAAGGAAAATCTGTTTGCAGAAAAGAGCGATGTTTATGGTACGAATTGCAGCCATTAGAATGCATTTTAAATATACTACTCATAGCCATAAAGGCGAAAGACGTAAACGATGTATTTGGACAACCAGTTAATATCAAAGAAGTTCCAGATTATCTCGAGATTGTGTCACATCCTATGGACCTTTCTACTATGCAGGTAATTTTTTATTAAAGATTACGCACACACATACACACACATACATAATATCACACATCTGTTTATATTTATCAAAGTTGGTATAAAATTTTATAAGTTTTTACAAAGTTTTATAAATCCAATGAAATTTGTTGAGAATAAAGAAAATACAATCATATATTTGAAAATACAATCATGTATTTTTTATTATAGGTGAAATTAGAAAGGCAGGAGTATGATTCCATCGGAGCTTTTGAGGCAGATTTTAATTTGATGGTAAGCAATTGCCTCGAATATAATCGCAAAGATACCATGTTCTATCGAGCTGGAGTGAAAATGAGAGAGCAAGGTGGAGCACTAATAGAGCAAGCGCGTAAGGAGTATCCTGACCTCGATCCAGTCGTTGAACCTGAGCAAGTCGCTTCAAAATCCAGAAAACGAGAAAGAATTAATCGTAGCCGCATGGAAACAGAATCACAGTCCAACGAAAAAGAGATCGGTAGCGGCGGGGTGAACAGAAGAACGGCGGTATTATTTACACGTAAAGCTAGAGCGCGCGCCAGTAGAAGCGGCCAAATATTTGTTCCAGAGGACGATAGAAAAAAACAAAGTGATAGCTTTAAAGTGTACAGGTATGTAATAACGAAAATTTTCTAAATTGATTGTTTTTAGATTATTCCTGAATTATTTCTAAATTAACTCGATTTCTATATTAATATTGATCGATAATTTATATACTATAATTTATATCCAAATAGATATACATAAATTCAGCAGAAACTTTATCAGTCAATTTGTAAATATATTCCTTGTATAGGTAATTCATATGGTGATTAATCGTATTAATCACGTTATATGAAATCAATATGAAAAAAAAATACAATTTGTTTAAAACAATGTATAATGTAAAATGTTTTGAATGAGGATGCAATACAAAATCCTACTTCAGCTTTTTCAGCTTGTGCTATGTCTGCGCAAAACGTGAGATCTGTCATTATTGTGGTGAAAAGTGACACTTTTCCGATTGAATTCCAAAATTGAACGTTTTCCATGGATTACAACCTTTAAATTATCCAGTTATTGTTGACAATTTGCTCAAATTAATCATTTTATTAACGGATAGCAATCGAAATAAGATTACATCTTTGTAATGCCACCAAACAGATAACATCACCTCTTGAAGTCAGGTCAAGTCAGGTTTGGACTGACCGGATACATCTTTCTTTCTTCAAGTCCGCTTGCATTGGACATTATATAGGAGAATTCATTTGTCATCGTCAATCAGTTATCGAATCAGAAACGGATCCTTCTTTAGTTAGCTAAGCAAAGAAACTACTGCAAAAACTCAGTCAATTTGGTTCTCTTTAATGAGAACATGTATCTAAATATCGAGTCTTAGATTATATCCAATTTTTTTTTAGATATGAAGTATAATATATAAAGTATTAAGTATGTAAGGTATAATAAGCAAAATTATAAGTGTTTTACTTATAATAGATTTTCTTTTTACATTACACATAAGAAGATACAACCTGATATAAATATTTTATATTAATCATAAAAGTCTATCTGGATAATATTTGAATATCTGTATTTTGAATAACTGCCTCACAAGCACCGGACCATTTAAAATTTCCAGAAGCGGAACGATGGATAGCGACGTTGGCGAGGGAGAAAGCCAATCATCGAGCTGCAGTAGTTGCCCTACTAGCAGATCTACTACCCCCGATCAAGAAGAAGAGAAGCAGCGACAAGAGATTGTCGAAACGAAGAAAGAGAACGAAAGTAAACAGACAAGCCTGGAAGCGTTGCAACTCGTCTGGGCCAAGTGTCGTGGATATCCTTGGTACCCAGCTCTGATCATCGATCCTAACACACCTCGGGGCACCGTGCACAAAGGAGTGCCGATCCCAGCACCGCCTGATGACGTGTTAGCGCTTGCAGACAATTACAAGGATCCTGTTTTCCTTGTGCTTTTCTTTGACACAAAGCGCACATGGTAAGTATTATTAGTTCCCAACTTAGAATACTGAATACTAAATCGAGAAAATATTTAATGGTAACGGCAAATTTCATCTTATAGGCAATGGTTGCCAGGTGAGAAATTAGAAAAACTTGGAGTGTCACAGGAATTGGATGATGCAAAATTGATTGAGTCACGCAAACCTGCTGATAGGAAAGCAGTAAAGAAAGCTTATCATGAAGCTTTACTTTATCGCAAACAAACACACAACACTATGTTAAATAGTGTGTCAAACGGATAAGTTTTATAAACATTGATGTTAAAACTATGGATGTTGTGAATAAATAGCTCTTGTACCAATTTATTATAAAGTTAATTTATTGTAAGGAGAGATCGTATGGGTATCGGTTTTATCTCTGTGATTCCTACATACAATAATTACATGTAATAATTAGAGCTCAGTTTTATATATTGATTTATATCTAATAAACATAAAAGGATGATATTTTTATCACAAAAAAACAATGGACTTTTACTTTTCGAGTATCCCTTTCAATTTAATTCAGACTTGCTGAAATATGTATTCATTATATTCGAAGAACATCAAAGATTAACAATTATATAAAAGTATCTACAAAGATTCTTGCATTTAAATAATATATAAATATTTAATATATTAATTATGAATATTAATATTCATAAGAAATATTTATATTTGCACATACTTATAAATTTTTAATCTATCGTATTTATATAAGACTATCTTCTTATATATAAGAAGTATGTCTGGACAGTATCCGAGCTTACACTGTACAAAAAGAAAGAGCAATTCTGGATTAATGGCAATTATATTCTTTTTGAAGTACTCTGCTTTGAAAGCTTCAACTTTTTTTCCAGCACTGCTCCCACTTCCTGAAGCAATTTTTGAACTTAGCTTTCAGAGCAGCTCCAACTGCTTCATTGTATTCTGTCATTCTCCACTCAATTCTTCCTCAATTCTCAAATTTCCTCTCAAGAGAGATTTAAATTTCGGGAATAGCCAAAAGTCATACGGAATTGTACGGAAACTGATAAACTTGTGTTATGCCGTGTTTGGTGAAAAAATTCTATATAAAGATGAAATGAATGAGCTGCTGCGTGTGACAGTCACAGATTTATACGCTTACACGTATCAGTGTCGATTCAGTGAAGGGTGCTATTCTAGGGCCACATCGCTTAGCGGAGATATTAAGGCTCGTCTACAATAGCTGTAAGAGTAAGGCTGTAACGTAAGCTGTCAGCGAATGAAAATATTTCATTTCGTGTCTTGCAACCTTACAGCCTTATTCTTAAGGCTCGTCTACATTAGCTGTAAGAGTAAGGCTGTAAGGTTGCAAGGCACGAAATGAAATATTTCGTGCCTTGCAATAAAATAATGGAAGAAAATATTTTCATTCGCTGACAGCTTACGTTACAGCCTTACAGCCTTACTCTTACAGCTATTGTAGACGAACCTTTACAGCTAATGTAGACGAGCCTTTAGGGGTACGTTCCGTTTCTCGCATGAGACGCATGGATGCCTAGCGCAGGGCATAGAGTGCACAGCCCGTTCCGTTTCTCCTAGGCTGGTATTCATAGTCAGGTCTTATATTTAAGACCGTCTTAAGTTCACTTTCAGATACTCTATAGCCAATGAAATGCTTTGTACAGAGTTTGAAGATAAACTTAAGACGGTCTTAAATATAAGATCCGACTATGAATACCGGCCTTATACTCTTCATGCACTGACCATGCGCTTTGAGTAATGGAACAGTTTCTATGCTGCTCATGCATAATATGACGGTTCAAATAAATATGTCTAAAATGATGTTGTTTCACAATGGCCGAAAATGGGTTTGCATCCGACAGTAACGTCGAAGAATCTCTTGTTATAGAAGCTATTAATTTAGACGTCGAGGAGGTACTCGTATTATCATATTTGAAAGTCAAAATAGTTGCTCTACACCGTAAAGCAAGATATGAATAGTTAAAGTTGACTAATATCACAGATTACGAAATCTGTTATTGCGACAAGTTATAGCAGTTTCATTTATTCTTTTTTAAATAAAACAAATAAGAAGGAGGTTAAAGATAGCCGCAGCAAAGTACAAGTTAGAAGAAGAAAGTATTTTGCTATTAATTGCACAAAAGACAAGAAAATTAGGTGAAACTAATCGGTAAAAAATTTAACTCCCTTATACTTTGTACTTACCTCAAACCACCTTGTTATTTAATTTTTTTTTTAATAAAACTAATAACAAGAAGGTTTCAGATAGTCACAACAAAGTACAAAGTCATTAGGACAAGAAAATATTTTGCTATTTAAAACAAAAAAAATAAATCAAATAACAAGGAGATTTGGGATAGTCGTAGTAAAAGACAAAAGAGTTAAGTTTTTTAATTAGTTTCACCCAACTTTCCTGTTTTTTGTATAATTAACAGAAAAGCACTTTTTTAGCCTAATTCTTTTGTACTTTGCTGCGGCTACCGCTAATTTCCTTGTTGTTTTAATTACAAAAAAAATTAGTAAATGAAACAACTGCTATAATTCATTATTATGACAGGTTTCTTAACACGTTCACTGTCGGTTACGCGATATCGCGTGTTACGGCCCCTCATCAAACGGCCGTTTATGCGATTGTTTTTTATTATGAGTGACAAACCAGGACCCTCGAAAAAACTCAGTTCAATGCCAGTTCAATCGTGCAAAAAAACAACTAAAAATAAATAAAAGAAAAAATAACTTTGGCCACCACACGAAATTCAAATTTTCAGTCCGACAGTGAACGTGTTAACCTATTCAATTTTAATTATTCATATTTCATTTCACAGTGCAAAGTGACAATTTTGGTTTTCACATTAGATTGCTTTGGCTAGGAAAGTAATTATAAGATTCATAAAGTACATACCTATATATTTTGTCTGATTCGTATTAATATGATTTGAAATGTAAATCACAAGTAAATAAACCACGTCCTTCTCTACTCGTCATGAGCTAATCGGATCTGATCGGATTGCTTCGAGGACACGTTTCATAAATCGGATTAGTCTAGGGAACTTTTTCTAAAGTCAGTTGTAAGAATTGGCAAATCACAGTCAATTATTATAAAAATAATCGGCTATAAAGGCTCGTCTACATTAGCTGTAAGAGTAAGGCTGTAAGGCTGTAACGTAAGCTGTCAGCGAATGAAAATATTTCATTTCGTGTCTTGCAACCTTACAGCCTTACTCTTACAGCTAATGTAGACGAGCCTTTAGAGCTTACGGCTTAAGCCAGCGGCACACGGTGCTTGTTTTCGTGCTGGATTGCTTGCTGGATGAAAATACTGCGTTCTGATTGGTGCATTTCCATTCATCTTCGGAAACGGACCAATCAGAACGCAGTATTTTCATCTAGCAAGCAATCCAGCACGAAAACAAGCATCGTGTGCTGCTGGTTTTATAGAATCTTTTGTTCGCATCTATGGCGGTTGGATGTGATTCTCGTAACTACGCATATTTTTGATCGTGGGGACTGCGTACGTGTTGTACCTGTTTTTCTTTTACTTTCGTAATCGTTGACTGGCATAGGAGATAGAGCTCTGTCTGTAACAGCTCTGCACAGAGCTATTTATTGAACCAGAGAACCAGAACTAAACGAAGCTTAACAGTTTGTTCTGACATCTGTCAATAATATTCAGTACATAAAGGTATATGTTTGCATCAATAACATTATTTTTTACTGCATCGAAAATGTCGAAATTTGAGCCAAATAAAAGTCATTTGCGCGAAGTATTAATCTTTTGCTTCAATTGGAAGAAAACTGCAGCTGAAGCTTATCGAATGCTTGTAGAAGTTTATGGTGATAATGCTCCTTCCGATAAAACATGCAGAGAATGGTTTCGACGCTTTAAAAGTGGTGATTTTGATATAGAGGATAAAGAACGTTCTGGACGGCCAAGAGTATTCGAAGACGAAGAATTGCAGGCATTGGTGGACGAAGATCCATGTCAAACGCAAAAGCAACTTGCAGAAACATTAAATTGTGCTCAATCTGTTATTTCCGATCGTTTGAAAGCCTTAGGAAAGGTTTACAAGGAAGGAAAATGGGTCCCATATGAACTGAAGCCAAGAGACAGGCGAAAACAGAGACAGAGAAAGGCAAAAAACTACCTGCGAAATTCTGCTTGCTAGGCAATAAAGAAAGGGGTTTTTACATCGTATAATCACTGGGAATGAAAAATGAATTTATTTTGACAATCCCAAATGTCGAAAAACTATTTACGATCCCGGCCAACCCTCAACATCGACGCCAAAGCGGAATATCTACGGAAAAAAGGCAATGCTCTGTATTTGGTAGGATCAGAAGATTGTGCTGTACCATGAGCTGTTGAAAAGTGGTCAAACAGTCACAGAGGATCTCTACAGAGAACAAATGATCCGTTTGAGCCGAGTGTTGCCGAGTGAAAAACGACTAGAATATGAAACGAGATAGCATAAAGTGATTTTGCTTCAAGACAACACTCAGCCTACGTCACAAAATCTGTCAAGGAAACATTAGAAGCATTTCGCTGGGAAGTGTTACCCCATGTGGCTTATTCATCAGACTATGCCTCTTCCGACTATCACTTGTTTCGGTTGATGGCACATGCACTTGCTGACGAATGCTTCAATTCTTATGAAGACGTCGAAAAATGGGTCTCTGACTGGATACCTCTAAAGATGAGTTATTTTTTCGCCGCAGAATTCACTTGCTGACCGAAAGATAAAAAAAAGTCAATGCTAACGATTAACAATATTTTGAATGATGTACTTTTTCATTTTGTTTCTTAAATAAAGCCATACGTTTTACAAAAAACGGACGGAACTTTCCGATTGACTTAATACTTACAAAAGTTTCTTCAAAAAGAGAAGAGACTCGTTCTTTGTAATAATAAACTCAAGCATAGAAATATCGCCATGGATCAAGTACTTTTCAGACAGACCTTAATATAAGAAGGAAATCTATTAAATATGTAAAATATTTATCATAATTTTGTTTACTATAGACTTGAAAAAACCGTTAAAACAATGTACAGTCTGTCCCATAAGAACATGGAGCCTATATCTGCAAAAAAATCAATTAAAAAAAGTGCATATAGTAAAAAAGTATTCTTTGTGGACTGTTACGCAATCATCTTGTAGATAATCCAGTTTTCATTGTTATCGATTATTGTTTGGCACCATTTAAGCATACTTTCAACTAATTTTTCAGTATACTCTAAAGTAAGCTCTAGATTTCTCGAAGATGTAATAACAACTGTTTTGCAGTGAATATACATTTTTCCCGAAGCTTCTTTATTAAACCTTAAACGTTTTCAATCCAATATGCAGGGTGAGAACACAAGAACACTACTTCGAAACGCTTTAAATATGTTACACTCATCTTGCCTGTGGAGTGTCTAACTTCAAGCATAACTGGGATGTGTGGCAAAGGATATTTCTATTTATCAAATTTTTGAACCTTCTCTTCTCAAACCATATATATTCCACACCACGTTCTTGTGGGACAGACAGTTTACAGTAAGGACAGACTCTAAACGGTAGGTTACAAACTTAACTTAGACTTTCTTTAACTTTAACTTTAACTTAGACAAAATTAGACTTTCAAGGTGAAATATTTATAACTAAATATATGAAAATATTTTTATTGTTTTTGGTATAAGCCTTTGTATGATGTTATAATCATACACACGAAATATTTGACATAGAAAAATATAAAGTATTTCCCTTTCTTTTATGATATATTCTCTGCATATTTTGTCTATTAAGACGAAAGAAACAAAAATATATAAATGCACTCGTCATATGCACACAGTGCATTTTTGATTAACATTTTACGCATAAAATACATATAACCGTTGCCAATAACAGGTTTCATTGACCAACATGTTCAGCAAGTTCTTTGGCATACATATCAAGTCTCTGTGTCATCTGAAACATCCATAAAACATGCATTTAATAAATATAAATCGTAAATAAATTTGTTAATATATAATTTATGTAATATATATATTATATAATATATGAGGGCTGTTTGACAAGTCAATTATTTGGAAATAAGAATTTTTTTTTACCGAAATTCAATTAATTTTTCGACATAGTTTCCTTTTAGCTCAATACACTTTGCCCAACAATTTTCCTACTTCTTTAAGCTTTCCAAAAAATATGATCTCTCAAATTCTGCAAAATAGCGATGGCTTCTTCGTTCGATATGTATTTTTTTCTGCTTTTTCACGCTTGCAAAGAGGAAAAAATTGCAAGAGGCTAAATCTGGAGAATAGAATGGATAAGGGAGTAGTTCGTAGCACAATTCAACAATGTTGGACATGGCAATTGCAGACATGTGAGCTTGTGTATTGTCATAGTGAAAGAAAATTTTGTCTTCGCTAAATAGGGGCGTTTTTCCATCAATTCAACATGAAATCGATTCAATAAAGAAGCATAATCCTCTGGCCATTTCGCCTTTTTCCAAGTAGTCGATAAAGATTATGCCATACGGATCCCAGAAAATTGTAGCCATGACTTTCCCGACCAATGGAACCGTTTTTGTTCTCTTCAAAGCACGTTCGCCAGAAGGAAGCCATTGTTTTAACTGCTCTTTCATTTCTGGAGTGTAATGATGGATGCATGTTTCCGCCGTGTAATGAGTACATATCACCGCAAAAATTCATTTGGATTGCGCTTGAACATCCGTCCAAAACACTAATTCGAAATGATCAGGTGATTTGGTTTTTGGTCAACTGTGAGCAAATACGGCACCCATTTTGCCGATATGCTTTCTCATGTTCAAATGTTCGTACAAGATATAAAAACACGTTCGCCTAAGATGTTTGCCTCTTAGCTATCTCACGTATCTTTACTCGGCGGTCGTCCAACATGATATCATGGATGTTATTAATCATTTCTTCAGTTGTGACTTTTTCGGACGTTCTGAGCGCTTATCATCATTTATGCTTGTACGCCCATAACGAAATTCAGTGAACCACTTGTGAACCATTCCATGCGACGGAGCAGAGTCCCATAACACATTTTTAGCTTTTCTTTAGTTTCTTTAATGACTTTTTTACGCAAAAGTAGTGCTTTATTAGCATACGGAATTCATTTTTTTCATTATAGCAAAGAAACAAATTTATCCGCTTGAGAACACTGTCAAAAAATTTCTATTTGACAGATCTATTTGAAATTTGGTGTGTATACTTAAATAAGATAGCAAATGTCAAAAATAAAATTAGACTTGCGACTTGAGTGTCATCTCTTGTCAGAGTCACTAACTTATCAAACAACCTACATATTAATAAATATGAAACATGATATATGTATAATAGTATAATAGCAATTAGATAATTAATTTTCTAACTACATTGTCTGGTGTGTTTCTTCAAGTTTCTAAGAATATTCACCCTAAATCCCCATATGTCTTTCATCTGCCGACACATATTGAGATCCAGTTCTCCAATGAGCAACCCATCTTTCTCCCGACTTAAGCCTGGAGTTCGCGAGCCATCAGGAGCGGTGATATAAGTAGAGCCATAGAAAGGTCCGAAATCGTTATGAGCTTCGCCTTTATCGCCAGATGTAAACTTATGGGAAAACATCTCAGTTCCCACGCGATTGATCGCACAAGTGTAGTAGCTGTTTGCTATTGCAGCACATCTAGCTTCAATCCCCCACAAATGCTCGGACAAATTTCCAATTGTTGCTGACGGATTGAAAACAATCTGAAATGAAAAAGATATGGAAAATTATTATCAATACATTAAATGAGACATCGAACACTGAAATCTGAAAACATAAGTATCAGAAAGGATAAAGCAACTCGATGTGATCTCTAGGAAAGACTCAGACTCAGACATTATAAATAAATATAATGTATCTGCATCTGTCAATCCTGCAAATAATATCCCAGTAAACACTAGCAATGTAACATATTACGTATAACAATTACATATTATAATTTCTCATTCAATAATATAACTGTATTATGTATGACATGCGTTATAGTGCTCAGTACATGCTGAGTGAAGAATTGTAATATTGATGTAATGTTGCTATTAGTTATTGTTTATTGAGATAGGCATACAGATTCACCTACAAAATCTCTTACCTCTGCTCTATTCAAACCGAACATCAACCAATTCAATGGATGATGACGACCATAACATATATTAACAGCAATGTGTCCATAACGAGTATTGAAAACTGGATGGCCTGTGTTACCCTCCATATAATAAGTAGATTCATTAAAATCACCCACACGGGGAATATGATTCTTCCTGTGTTTTCCAAGGACTTTGCCATCCGCATCAATTACCACGCAAGTATTCCAGATAGTATCTCCATTAACAGAATCTCGCTCCAAAATTGGCGATAATATTACCATTTTATGTTGCTGGGCAAATTTAGACAAGAATAATGTCGATGGTCCAGTCTCAGCATCCTCTGCAAACTCGCACCATGGATATTTTTCCCTCGTACAAAAAGCAAATGGCATATCTGCAATAATGTTATATACCAATTATTACAATTAGAAAATTTTTTATACATTTTTGTGCATATAACAAAATGATATTTTTACATACTCCATGCTTCTTGGAGACACAAAATCTGAACTTCAGCACTAGCTGCATAGTTTATGTAGGATTCAATTTTTTGATAGAGAGCATTTTGTTGCTCTATGATGGATTTAGATGTGGGCAACACAATCGAGTGTTGTACCAATCCTACACGCACAAAACGTTGTTCACGAAGTTGTTCTTGAATTGTACTATCCAAGAAATAACCCTTTACTTCGAAATCTTTATTTTCCCATTCTGGTATAACCAATGGCCTAACAACATCAAACTTAAATTAGAGAAATACATTTGGTATATTGTATGATATTTATGTCAATTATAAAAATAGAATATATTGTATATTTAAAAGTAAAAATTCTTACGCAAAAATACGTCCATATAAAACACGCTTTACTTCAGATAACTCTTTTTCTGGTATATTTTTCTCTAAGATCTCCTCAAGAGTTAATTCGTACATGATGGTGAATATCTCCTGAATAGCTGGTCTGAGACTTGACTGATAACCTTGAAATTTATATTATCACGAGCTTTTATAACATGTGATATCATCCCCCTCTACATTCATACAAATAAGGCATGACATTGATAAGAGATTAAAAATACAGGACAATACAAAACAATCTGAAAAATACATTGAGAAAGCTAAAAACTTTAAATTGTTTTATTATTGATTTTACATGGAATATTATAATAACAGAATTAGTTCACAAATTAAATTAGAGTCTTGCATGACTCGGAGGCCGCCCGCGGGGAAAAATATAAAAGAAATAGTGGGAAAGAGCTAAAAATCGGACGAAAAGTGCCGATTTTGCCAAGCTCTGAATTAGAAAATATAAAGTTATGTTGTGATACATTTCGATCATAAATTAAATATATCCCATCATATATTTTTTATTACATATTAATTAGTAGATGAAGTACACAAATATGCAGGCCATATCATGAAGAAAGTATGGGCCTGTTCTTTTTAGCTGCACTGCTGAACTGGTGCAGTAAGTTGGAATGAGAAAAAGTGTAGTTGTCTCACTCTAAAGGTCATTCTACAATGAGGTTGTAGTAGTATGCAGTAGGCAAATTGACCAATCACGATCGATTGTTCTCTTTACGATCGACGAAAAATCGACTGTGATTGGTCAATTTGCCTACTGCATACTACTACACCTCATTGTAGAATGACCTTAATGCCTCGTCTACAATGGGGTCGTAGAGTCATAAAATATGGTCGTAGAGTCGTGGCGGTAGTCGCTTGAAGGTCATTCTACAATGAGGTTGTAGTAGTATGCAATAGACAAATTGACCAATCACGATCGACTGTTCTCTTTACGATCGAAGAATAATCGACTGTGATTGGTCAATTTGCCTACTGCATACTACTACAACCTCATTGTAGAATGACCTTAAAGCGTGGTCTACAATGGCAGTAAGCAGTAGGAAGTAAGCGTGAACAGTAAGAAATGGACCAACCACAGTTGAGTATTTTTGTCATAATCGACTGTGATTGGTTTATTTCTTACCGCTTACGCTTACTTCTTACTGCTCACAGTCGATTATTCTTCGATCGTAAAGAGAACAATCGATCGTAATTGGTCAATTTGCCTACTGCATACTACTACAACCTCATTGTAGAATGACCTTTAGGATCGTCTACAATAGAGTCGTAAAGTCATTGGCCTATATTCAGAACGCGCTAACAAAGATATTAGCGCACTAACAAGCTGAGATGTTAGCGCTCTTATTAGCGCGCATATTCTCAACGCGATGATAGCAGCGTTTTGTTAGGACATATCGATAATCACGCGTGTTTAGAGCAAAATCCCTATTCAGAACCACGAATAAGTCGTAATAGCGCGCTAACATATCGATATCTTAGCAGCGCGCGATAAAAGTGGTCAGAGCCATGTATAAGTGCACTAACAGCTCCTGTCACATTTAAAGAAATAATAATAATAATTTAAATAATAATAATAATTTAAATCAATTATTGTTTTATTTTCTTCGGCAGAAAAATTTTCCCTTCTCTTGTCACTCATCTATAAAGATACGAACATATATATTTATTAAAATTATCCGTTGTTAAGAGCAAGCAATGAATAATAAATAAGCAATGTAACAAAATTATAAGAATGAAATGTAAATTAATATAATAAATAAACTTACTATACACAATTTGACAATATATCAGAGCACTCCACTTCGCAAAAATCGTCAGCAGACATTTGAATATCGCTGGATGACGCGCGTCTCGTACTCTTGCCACATCCACATTACGCGATATGAAAAGAACCAGCTACATACTGCTCGGAAACGAGCACTCTTATTGGTTGCCATTGCGTCTTTAGGTAATAGTGCTCTGTTCTTGCGTTCTGCATACGAGCGCTACAAGCGCATCTACATCTCGCGTATTTAGAAGCGTATATGTTAGCGCATTTTGAATATGGGCCTTTATATTTGATTATATATTCACACCACTACTTATACACTTCTTAGTGCTATGCACCTATCATATCACTCGGTACAAACATAATTTTAGTTAGCACGCATAAAGCCCGTATCAGACTATGGATTGGGATTGAGATTAGATTGAAATTTGACCAATTGAAAAAGAGAAAATAATCTCAAGTATAGTAAACTTACTCCTGATTGGTTAAATTTCAATCCAATACTCAATCCCAATCCGTAGTCTGATACGGGCTTAAGGTATACGTTCAGCTGATCGGAGCGAAGGTAAAGTTGATGGAAAGCAAAATAAGTTGACTGAAAGTTAAACTCCGTTCACAATTGAACGCAGTTCACAGGAACTCAGAATTGAACCACTTTGAAGGAAACGGGCATTAAGCGTCGTCTACAATGGCAGTAAACAGTAAAAAGTAAGCGTAAACAGTAAGAAATGGACCAACCACAGTTGATTATTTTTGTCATAATCGACTGTGATTGGTTTATTTCTTACCGCTTACGCTTACTTCTTACTGCTTACTGCCATTGTAGACCACGCTTTAAGGTCATTCTACAATGAGGTCGTAATAATATGCAGTAGGCAAATTGACCAATCATAGTCGATTATTCTTCGATCGTAAAGAGAACAATTGTGATTGGTCAATTTGCCTACTGCATACTACTACAACCTCATTGTAGAATGACCTTTATACCTCGTCTACAATAGAAGTTGTAGAGTCGTAAGTCGTAGAAATTGACCAATCATAGTCCGGTAAGAGAAAAATAATCGATTGCGTTTGGTCAATTTGTACGACTTACGACTCTACGACTTCTATTGTAGACGAGGTATTAAGGTGCCTTTACATGGGAGCGTCGAGCGTCGAGCGTCAAAGCGTCCAACCAATCAAAGTTCCTTGTTTTTATCCCTGAAATAAGAAATGAAAAACTGATTGGTTGGACGCTTTGACGCTCGACGCTCGACGCTCCCATGTAAAGGCACCTTTAAAAGTTATTTTCGATCGCAAAATGCTTGCAAGCACAGTCGCTTGAGTTGGTTCCAATCCAATTTCAGCGACAATTGTAACGACTTGAGCTACAATAGACCAATCAGAGGAAAGATTTTATATATCACGCTATGTGAACAATATGGGAAAATGATATCGGTGTGTGGACGGCACTTATTTATTCATTTTTGATAAAGCCACCTTCACAAATTTCATCAGTATCACAAGGATCAATGATAAAGAAATTATCAGCAAAATCGCCTACTTGCAATAAAAATTTTATTAATATTTCTGAAGGCAAGTGATTGATAAATTACTATTTTCCACAGAAAACTTAATCATTAATTACATTCTTAACACTTCTAAATAAATTTCAAATAGCGAAAATATTGATCCAGCAAATAAACATAACCTCAAAGTGCCTAAAACAGATATCAGAATAAGAAAGAATATAAATTTTGATGTGAATTCTCTAATTAGGGAATCATCACAGGCTGTTACTGCAGCCTGTTCAGCTTTGCCAACATTGCTGAACAGTACAACTTCTACGCCAGATACAGAAGAAGAGAAAAGTATGGTGACAGTCTTATTACATGGAATAAAACGTGTACCTATGCAACAAAGAATAAAATGTTTTATCAAACTGTTGGAAATATTGGAATCATTTCAGCATGAGTGAATAATTATATATGCTGATAGAAAATATTAAAAATATAATTGTCCTATTATAGCATATGTTATAATGTATTGGATGCTATATGGAATATTGTCAGCAATCAGCAGAGAAAGTTATGTAAATGTTATAAAATTGATCTGATTGGTATATATTTTTAAATTCAATCAAGATTAAAAGCATACCATCAATCAGATTCTCGTATTTTTACACAGTTGCAAAACTTTCTTCTCTATATTCTCTATACAACAATTGTACTGTTAAAAGAAGAAAACTCAATATGAATATTAAAAGTAATACTTTTGTGGAACATACAGTTTAATCATGAAACAATAGCCTTGCTTTGTGGTATCAACAGATTTTCATAAGATATATCATCTTATATATCTCCTTTTTATATATCTTTTTATATATCTCCTTTTTCTAAGAAAAGGTCTGACAATATGGCATAAATAATCATATTGGACGGTGTCATTCGTGTCATATTAAAAAATTTTTCATGATCTATCTCATATACCTCTTTGAATTGTTTATTGAAATATCCTAAATAATCTCTGCTTCTATTTATAGGTCTTATCCACTATCTTCTTTGTCTTTTTCGTTTTAGATATAAATATATCGATATTAAATTCAAATGGTAAGCATTTAATAACAAAGAAATACTACAAATTGCATGGAATTCCATTATATTTCTATTTCAATAACACACATAAACACAATTGATCATTCGTTTTATTGTATGGGCAATATCCTGCTCTCTGATTGGTTTACACTCCAATCCAGCGACTAATTGAACTTTGTACAGGCATCGCCATAGGACCCAGCTCACGACTTTACGACTTTACGACTTCACGACTTTACGACCCCATTGTAGACGTAGCATAAAGTCAGCGGCATAGAGTGCTTGTTTTCGTGCTGAATTGCTTGCTGGGTGAAAATACTGCGTTCTGATTGGTGCATTTCATAGACTTAGGGCCGATTGTACCAACTTCTTGGTAAATTAGCTGAAGGCTCGTCTACAATAGCTGTAAGAGTAAGGCTATAAGGCTGTAACGTAAGCTGTCAGCGAATGAAAATATTTAATTTCGTGTCTTGCAACCTTACAGCCTTACTCTTACAGCTAATGTAGACGAGCCTTAATAGTTAAATCATATGTTTATTTTTGTTTTTCCTTCAATTTAAACGAAGACAGACGTATGATTTAACTGTCAGTTAACTTACCAAGGAGTTGGAACAACCTGTCCTTATACAGATAGACTGCGCGTTCCATGAGAGGATTTGAAGACAACATTAAAGTGAAGGGAGCGATAGCTGAGTGAGTGTGTCCCTGTTTAACATGCGTCTTGGTGGGAGAAGTCGAAGAGGAGAATAGGACAGTTATACAAATAGGAGGACAGTTATACAAAGGTTATGGTTCGCAAATTAATTGACCTTGCTAAGTTTAAACTCTAGTTGCT